ACGCAATGTCTTTTTCTAATGTTTCATACAGATTTTTGTAGGATTTGAAAAGCTACATCTTTGGACATCTTTAAAAATTGTGATGTTATACAAATCTTAAAACTTTTCCTAAAAACCGTGAAATCTACTACTTTTGCTATAAACGTTCATTGTTGGTTGCCATGGAAAGGCAGAAACTTACGAAGTATATTTTCAGAAAGCCTACAGTCCACAGTCTCCAATATCTAGGTTTGAACTTATTCTCTTCTTTTTTAGTGAACTTAATGCAAGTTAAAACAAGAAAAAGTTCGAAAAATACAAAAGTTACAAGCCATTTCTAGTCGCTTTAAAAAATTTCAAATTTTAAGTCTTAAACTATTGTCCGTTCACAAAGTCCGTGGGTGTGGCCATTCTTCAATTTGTCTGATTGGTCAATTGCTGACCACATTTTGATATTCTTTAACGCCCGCGAGTGTGGTCTTTCGAATGGTGAAAACCGCTTTTTCTTCTTTAATTATTCATAAAATCGCCACACGCACACGGACTTTGTGGAGAACATTACACGCTATAGTGTTTTTTGGAAAATATTCATTTTAAAGACAGACTTTTCTCGATCTCTGGGTGTGAAATTAGGCTTCTAGCACTTTCCATTTAAACAGAACAGGCCTGGACATGTGTGCCGATACATATGCGGCGTAGGTTATTATTCTACGCTGATCTTTACAGTGCCATGTCTATTTCAATATCGTTGTCTTTCATTAGATGTGTGCCTGAATCCGTACAGCGCTTCAACGAACTATAAAACTGGCAGCAGTCCAGTTTCTGTGACCATGGGCACTTTCAGAGATAATAAACAACTAGATTTTATCGTGGCAAACCAACAAGATAACGACGTTGGTGTGCTTCTTACCAAGGGAAATGGAAGCCTTCAGACAGCAACCAAATATTCCACTGGCCCCTTCCCAGAGTCTTTGACATCAGGTGACTTCAACAATGATGGAAAACTGGATCTGGCAGTAGCTAACACAGGCGCAGACACTATCACTCTGCTGCTTGGTAATGGCGATGGAACCTTTCAGGCTCAAATCAACTATGCGGCTGGCAGCAACCCGTATTCTATCACACCAGGAGATTTCAACAGTGATAGCAAACTGGATCTGGCAGTAGCCAACTATTTGGAAAACACCGTCAGCGTGCTGCTTGGTAAAGGGGATGGAACCTTTCAGACTCAAATCAAATATCCGACTGACCTTCTTCCCAACTGTGTGATATCATTTGATTTCAACAATGATAGTAAACTGGATCTCGTAGTCAGTAATTACGGTGGAACCACTGTCAGCGTGCTGCTTGGCAACGGAAATGGAACCTTTCAGAATCAAATCCAGTTTGCAACTGGCACCAGCCCATATTCTTTGACATCAGGAGACTTCAATAATGATAAAAAACTGGACCTGGCAGTGGCCAACTCAGGCGACAACACCGTCAGCGTACTGCTTGGCAATGGGGATGGCACCTTTCAGACTCCAAAGAGCTATGCTGTTGGTGGCAGTCCAGAGTCTGTGGCAACAAGTGATTTCAACCATGATAACAAACTGGATGTGGCGGTAGTGAACTACTTGGAGAACACTGTCAGCGTGCTACTTGGGAATGGGGATGGATCCCTTCAGACTCAAATCAAGTATGCGACAGGCAGCACTCCAATTTTTGTGGTATCATTTGACTTTAACAATGACAACAAACTAGATCTCGTATCGGCCAATCAGGGCGAAACCACCATCAGTGTGCTACTTGGAAATGAGAATGGAACCTTTCAGACTCAAATCAAGTATGCGAGTGGTAACGGTCCAACCGCTGTGGTATCAGGTGATTTTAGTGCTGATAACCAACCGGATCTGGCAGTACTCAATCAATTCGAATTCAGTGTCACCATGCTGCTGGGAAAGGCTGATGGAACCTTTCACACCCTAACTGAGTATGCGACTGGCAGCAGCCCCTCTTCTGTGACATCAGGTGACTTCAATAATGACAACAATCTGGATGCGGCAGTGGCCAACTCCGGCGAAAACACCGTCAGCGTGCTCCATGGCAATGGGGATGGAACCTTTCAGACTCAAATCAAGTATGCGACCGGCATCAATCCATCTTCTGTGATATCATGTGATTTGAACAATGATAACAAACTGGATCTAGCAGTAGCCAATGCCGGCGAAAATAGTGTCAGCGTGCTCCTCGGCAATAGGAATGGTAGCTTTCTGAATCAAACCAAATATACTACCGGCAGCAATCCATCTGCTATGATATCATGTGATTTCAACAATGATAACAACCTGGATGTGGCAGTGGCCAATGCCGGCGAAAATAGTGTCAGCGTACTCCTCGGTAATGGAGATGGAAGCTTTCAGAATCAAACCAAGTATGCGACTGGCAGCAGTCCATCTTCTGTAATATCATGTGATTTCAACAATGATAAGGAACTGGATCTGGCAGTAGCCAACCATTTGGAGAACACCGTCAGCGTGCTGCTTGGTAATGGGAATGGAATCTTTCAGAATCAAATCAAATATACCACCGGCAGCAGTCCATCTTCTGTGATATCAGGCGATTTCAACAATGATAAGGAACTGGATTTGGCAGTAGCCAACTATTTGGACAACACGGTCAGCGTGCTGCTGGGCAATGGGAACGGAACCTTTCGGACTCAAATCCAGTATGCGATTGGGATCTGTCCATCTTGTGTAATATCAGGTGATTTCAACAATGATAGAAAACTAGATCTGGCAGTGACTAACAAATACTCTAATGACTTGAGTGTTTTTCTGAATGAATGCAGTTGACTGGTTGCCAAATTTTCACTTTGTTTACATTTGAACTGTTTGTTAATGATGCATTCGGAGTAACTATAAATCGTAATAGAATACTCTTATTCTTATTCGTTTTTAAGCATGATGTCGTACAAAACCTGGGCGTTTAACTGTATGCGTGCAAATCCTGGTTTTTTTCCGTTTCTTCTACTACCTTCCCTTCGATTATGTATCTCGGTTTGCTCTCAAGGATTATATAAGATGACTATATAAGAGTGTATTCCAGTAGTGGATGATTTTCCAGGAATGCGACACTAGTGGGAAGCCGGATACTAATTATCTGCTTTGATGATCTTGAGGGGGAGTATTAAAAGTCACGACTTGTTTCGTCCTTTCTCACGAGTCACCTTCCTGCAGCTTTAGCACTGCATTGTCTCTTACATGAACGGGGCAGCATCAACTCGAAAGAGATCCTCCAACATCTAACACAAGAGCTCAATGAATAGCAGAGGTTTCTTTCCATAATATTGTAAGTAGTATGAAGAGGAAGCCATGACTAGGTTTCTCCGGTGTTTGCGGTTCTGCTCTGGAAAAAAGAAGCCACAATGAGATTCCGATACAACGGTGTGTTTATACATATAGGCAGGATTCAGCTCTGGTGATCTGTTGTAGAAATTATAGAAGATCAATTCCGACAGTATCGAAGACGCTCTTCAACATGATTTGGAGAGATTTCCTTGATTCAATTATTGAACTCCCCGCAAATAAGGCTATAGTTAGATGGTCAGACGTTTTGAAGTTTCCCGAAAAGATTGTCTCGGGAAAAAGTGAACGGGGGCATTCCCTAAAGAAGCGTCTTCGGCCCACTGTTGTTTCTTGTTTTTATTGATGATAATAGAGAATCATTAAACTCATGCACACGGTTGTGTGCTGCCGATACGGTCATTCATCATTTTGATCGTGATATACATGATTTAACAGCACATTTAAATATCGATTTTTTATCGAGTCTTCATGCAGAAAACCTCCAAATACTGCGAAGGCGTCAAAAACCTCAAAAAATCTCTTGATCTTTTCATTTTTCGATCTCACAGGTGCGATTTTTGGATTCAGCATCGCGAAGCACATCTAAGCACTTGTCATTCGATGACTTTTCTTCAAGTCTTAAACTCTTGTAACTGATCAAACACTGGGCACTCGAACCTTGAGGTTCTCACCGCGCAATGCTATCTAGTTTTTTGCCATGAGAGCTAGAGACTTCTTTCATACGCCAGAAGCCCTGCTCTACAAAAGTATGTGTCGTTTTTTCCAAACGTTTTTCCTTTTAGGAGAAATTAGGAAAAGACTGAAAAAGTGCGAGTTTTTCGAAAAATCCTTCAGATGATGAGCCATAGCTCAGTGATATTTCCACCTAGAGACCTGCGATTATGGTTTGCGCATCATATAGACAGAGCATCAAATTCTGAGCAAAATGAGACGTGCTCGAGCCTTCTGGCACATCTCGAGGCTAACATAAGACCATTTCACTTTCAGAGATCCGGCTGACCCGAAATCCTTTAAGAGGTTTGCCAATAAATCAGCCTAGAAAGACGCTGGACAGCCCGGGAAGATCTCATTTTACTTAGAACTCGATGCGCATTCCGATGCGATGCTTCATGAAGGGTCGCACAGTAATGACGAGGTTTACGGGAAAACCGGCTCTTCGGAAATCTCTCAGAAACCTTCGGAAACCCATTATCCTCGCGAGGCATGTTATCTGAATGCGCATCCAGTTCTACGTAAAATTAGGTCTTCCTAGGCTGTCCAGCGTGTTTCTAGGCTGAGTTATTGACAAATCTCTTAAAGGATTTCGGAACTTGACGCTCTGTCCATATGATGCGCTTGGGTCGAAAAAGATTTCCGAAAGGCTCTTGAAGGTTTCTCGGAGTTCAAAAATCGCACTGGTGAGATCGAAAAATGGAGAGATTAGAAGATAATCGGGATTTTTCTGAAAAATCGTTTTTTCGAGGTTTTCGACGCCCTCACAGTATTTTGAGGTTTTCTGCATGAAAAAAAATTTTGAAAAAAAAATTCTGCATAAAAATGTTTGATCAGATCCGATTCCGTTTCGGACGGGCATTGATCTTGCCATAATGATCGAAGACGTATTAAAAAATCATTTATGGGTTCATCTAATCGTTGACTACACTCTTTCCATGCTTGTACTGACTGAGCGGATCGTCATGACGACGTGAATTGTTGAAGAAATAACCGTTGAAACTCTAACCATGTGGGCTGAATACGACCACTGAGACGAAGTTGGGAGTACCATTCTAGAGCTGTACCATCCAGAAATCGGGATCCGCGAAGAAGTGTTTCCGGAGACCAATTGTAAATAGTTTCAGTGTATAGCTGTAATTTCGGTAAAAATGGGCGTGGTTTTTCTATGGGTTTGCCACTGTAAACAGGCGCATTACCTGAGGAAGGTATAATGATCGTCTGATGTGGAATTCCAGAGGGTTCATAGCAGGAGATGGACGCGGCACGATTGGGAGAATAGGTGTCGCGAATTACCGCCGACGGTGAGAAAACGTGGTTAGCTGCTAACTGTTGCTCAACGGAAGTACTGGTGGCTTTGAGCCTCGTGCTTTGACTTCTGGCTTCTTCACAAAGTATCGGTCTCCCAAGATCAGTGGATAGACGCTCTTCTCGCTATTCGTGATAAATACCACATAACCTGCTAAACTTTTCGGATAAACCATTGAACCCTCGAGTAAGTTGGTCATCCATCTGACTAAGCTTTTCGTCTAATTGATGAAATTGCAAATCCTGCTGCTGCTGACGGGCATGTAAATCCTGGACGGTATTTGTAGTGTCGTCCTTGGCAGTTTGAACAGCCTCGATCACTAAGTCAAGACGATCATTAAGACGACGCAGTTCGTCTTCATGCATTTAGAAATCGATCTGTTACAGTTAAAGAATTAACATCAATTTTTATGCGATAAGAAGCGTCATCCTGGGACGATGAATAATGATGAATTTTGTTTTTCCAAGTAAGATAATCGCCGACAATATTCCACTGACGGAAACGCCAGAAATCCGTCTGAAACGATTTTGTAATGACACAAAATTCTTCTTAGTCTTTTATAAGACATTTGATATTTAACTTACAATTTTTCATTGACGGCAAGATTGTCTCTCATGCTACAGAATTTAGATACGGTTTATTCAAGTTGGCATCAGATTTAAATGTGAAACAATTTATTGCAAACAATAGATTTTTAAACAAATACTCGAGTGCATTAAATGGAACAAATTTAAGTAGTTCGAGTTTTAGAGTTGTTATTGTGATAGTCTCTGCAATTCAGGTAATATCACTTGTCTGTCATTATACCAAAACTTTGTAATCGATAAATATTTTAATTTTGGACACGCACTGCAAAGACGAGATTAAAGTATGTAATCACAGTAATCAATTGTTAAATATTCAGTTGATGATACACCATGTATTGTTTGATGTTCTCTAAATATCTTGATGTCTTGATCGTTGGTATATAGGTGACATACATAGTTCTTGCATGGATATGTTTGTTAAATCGATATGAAGACGATCATTAATAATAAGCGAATTCAGACCATAGTTGAGGTTCAGAAATGATCGAAGGAGAACGTTACGGGATAAGTAACCAAATATTTCCAATATCATCTCAGATGATAAATCCGACCAAGACATGACGAATCTAAAAGGCATAATTATCTTAACGAAGAGTAAGCTATAAAATCGAAAACTACACGATGGTTTTTTTTCTTCGGCCCATCCGTAATCAGGAGTGTAAGTTTAAACGCATCCTGATTCGTGATGTACTTGTATTGTTTGATGTGGAAACACTAGCACATGTGTATTTTCTATTATATACTGCTCAATAAATTTTGATTAATCGCTTTATGATCCGATCATGATGTACCGTCAAATGATAAAAAATATTTTATTGAATCGCTAAAATATCAATCGCCATCACCTAGTGTAAACAAATGAATATTGTGCTTTACCGTGACATTTGGACGTAAATGGTAAAAATAATGTTCTTTTTTCTGTGTAAGTCCCTGAAAACATGCAATAAAACTCAGCGAGAAAATTAAAAAAACAAAAAAACAACCCAAATAAATGAACAGAAAAGCATATGATAGATCTGCGTGCAACGGACGATAACTAAACACATAAAGTAGGATATGCAAAAAAGTGCGAAAAGTAAAAAAACACACAAAAACAAAAACAATTAAGTTACGCACCATGACGCCTTTGCGTGATCCGTCGTGAGTGGTAGCCTTGACGATATAGTGAGAACCATGGAGTGATAGACGTTAACGGGACTCGAATATCCATTAAACGCGGTACCTGTGAGTGTGATGCAGCCGAAGTTGAAACGATAGTAGCTGTTGGTAGAGCGTCAGGATCGGGTGTCGTCGGTTTGGCGGCTGCAGTCGGTGTTGATAGTGTACTAGTTGATACCGGAGACGACGCTAATGCTGTCAACAGCGCCGTAGGTGGTGCAGATGGTGCAGCCGGAGTATCAAGTAGTGATAGTGCGTCGTCCAAGGGGAAAAGTTCGAGTTCTACCGATATTGTAATAAAATGTAGTACTATGATGAAGATGTATTTTAATAGCGTAGATATATGTATGTATGAGATACTGAGTGTATATGAATGAATGCAAGTGGGAGTTATGCTCTTTCGTTTTGTTTTTTTTCTTTGTATGTATGTTATGTTTACGTTTCGTGTTATCTTGTAGTGTACGACTGAAGAAGGGATAAATGAGGTATGAAGATAACCTTGATTGTGCATATGAAGACAAAACAAACATGACGAAGAGAGAACTGAAATAACACATTTGAGGAAAGGAAAGAAGAAGGGACAAAGACTAGTACTCTATGTCTGGCGAACAAGCGTGTCTCACGAGGGAAAAGGAATCCTCAAATTTTGGAGAGACATCCAACGCCAGGCCGCCAAACCAATAACCAGAAAACCCATGATGAGAGCAATTGTACCCATGAAAACTGAGGCCGGAATGGTGACATCATGAAAAGGGAGACGGAAAGGCGAAAAAGATAATTGTTGGCTTAAAGCGGAAAGATTGGTGTGTAAGTATGGTATATGCTGTCCTACAGGTTTCAGGTCGAGATTAGCCGGATCGATTTCTCTGAAAGTTTGATTGTGAAAAAGAATTAACTTAGGCCGTGGGGTTGCAATAGCTGTGCCTGTAAAAGAAAATCCAGGACAGGACAGAATAGAACCATTTGAAACATGAACTAGTGTGACTGGGTTAGGTTGAGAGCATCACCGAATGTGGAAGGTGGAAATCGAGCGCTAGGACTACGCGTACAATTGAATGACTCGGGTTTAGATATAGCTCAGAGAGAGCCAGGAAGTTGCTGCAGAAAATAAGGGGAGGGAGTGACCGGTTCAAGGACACATTGAGTGAAACTGTGGTTAGTAAGAATTTGATGTAAACATGGAAAATCTGTTAAACGCGAAATAGGAGGAGCGATAGTACAGGTAGGTAATATATTAGAATCACATGGTACACTGGATTTGGAAATTCTAGACAACGTTACATGCGAACAATATCCAATCCACGTTTTCGTATTCAGTTTTTCACGCTGAACCAGAAAAAAGAAACCACAAAGCTATAAAACATAAAGGGAATTCGAAAAATCAGTTTTGTTGAAATATTGTCAGTTTTTAAGCCAAAGTAAAATTTTCTCCTCCCAGATGCAGTTTCGAAGGCCAAAACAGATATGTTTCGACTCAGCTCGACGAGCTCTATCCGACCATGTGTGATTCGTCAAGAGAAAGTTGGTGCTAGTTCTTGGAATTACGTGCACTTTAATAATAATTAAAATAATAACGAGAGAAATCTGTTAGAAGACGAATAAGATGGTTGTTGAGGGAGTTTACTACTTTGAAAGTTTTAAAAAAACCATAATGAATTATCTTTTTTTATAAGCTTTATTTATTTATTGATGAAACAAATAGTTATAACTAAGACAGGTCAAAAGAGAGCAAAGCCACATTATTATCGTTCTGTCCAGCCAATAAAAAATAGCAAAAATGGGAAGGAAAGTAGCAAAGACATGAATGGAAATACATAATGAAAAACAGGAAGAAAAAAGACATAAAGGGAACAAACAAATGGCAGAAGCAAGGAAGAAGAGGATCGAGTGTGCTAAGAGATGCTGACCAATTTTTACATCGCAAACCTTTTAGTTGAAAGAATATATTCAATAACACTTCCGTAGACTGTCAAATACTATTCCTTTGAGAGGTGAGTTTTACGTAAGAGTAATTCACTACTAAGGGGTTGTGGCAAATCCAAAGTTATTCTAAGCCAAACACATATCATTAAAAACTAGATAAAATTCTGCTTTTTAAGTCTAACTTAGAACGAAAGTTTAAAAGACTTGAACTCAACCAGGTTGAAAAAAATCAAGTTTGTCAATCTAAGTTTAACATCACAGGACAGTAATTCCCTATGTCTGTCAGTCCGCCACACTTGTATCATAGAGAGTGTCACAAGCGATCTGAAACTTAGAAAAGACATCGATAGCGTCACAGTCAAAGTGATAGTACCGGAAGACATCATAAGCAATGTGAGTGTGAGTGATCTGGTAGAGGGAGCCACCTTCAATGCGAACTTTGATGAACTTATTTTGCAGAGCAACAACCTCGTGAACACTTAAACCATACGGCTAGAATAATTCCGCTTTATTCTTTAAACTAAAGAAGGCTTAGAATGTCCCATCCTGACGAACTTTTATGTTACGTGCTCGAAATTCTTGAAAATCGTCGGAAGAGTAATAATAGTACTACAGCATTATACAAACAATTTTCGTTTTCACTGCATGTGAGTGGTATATATCCATTCACATCTTATGGAACAAAGTAACTTCATAAAGAGAAGCCAGTATGGAATCGATAATATATATTCTTCCATCAAAAACAATAGTCATTGTATTCGAATAGAAAAGAGCTCACGATTGGCTCTAATATGATGCAAATTGTTTTTAAAATATCGAAATCCCAGTTAACTACTTCCCAGATTTTGATATGGCATTCTTCCTAACCTCTCTTCGTGGTAATTTATTACATCGAAAGTTCAAAATCGCTTACAAGGTCATAGCTTTTCGGTGGAGGAGCACTTTTATCTGATGCCGGATTAAAATTCCCGGCCTAATCGTAGAGTTTACCCTAAAATTCGTCACAGAAACCTGATTTTCTTAGTTGATGACTTGCCTTGATTTTTCAAACGAAATCACGAGTCGAGTCTTTTTATAAAATCGCCAAATCAAGTTTGACTTGACCTGCTCAGCTCTGCGTTTGACTCTGTTAAATAAAATAAGACTGTAATTTGTTCGAATATATTTCATTGTAATAAACTCAACTGACAAAATAAAGACTGAATATATGTCGGAGAATGTTTAATTACAAGAATCCACAGTAATCACTGACATGAGTATTAACCTTTCTAAATGATCTTTAAACCACAACTCATTTTGATCTATCATTTACAATGAGAGAAAAACAGTTCACCTATAGTCGAGCAATTGGTGCAGATAAGGCCAAAGGATATGTAGGCAAAATGAGCAAACAATCAGAAATATAAATTACTAGTTTAATTTTAATTTGGTTAAGAAATAGTGCAAATTAAGGTTGTTAATTTAGCATTATTTTAGAAAATAAATATAAATGGTTCATTTACTTTTATGAAATAAATATAACTAAATGAAAAAAAATTTATCTTTATTTTATAAAAGTAAGTAATTCACTTATATTTATTTCTTTATTTTTACCTTTATTTTTGAACATAAATATTTATTTTTGGTTGAAATAAAGAAAATAAAGGTAAATGAATCATTTACTTTTATAAAATAAAGATAATTTTTTTATTTATTTA